AAAATAAAATTTATTTTGTAATTATTTTTTTATTTTTTTTTTTTTTTTTTTTTTTTTTTGTTATTTATTCACAAATTCTTAACCTAACTTACGCGCAATGGATGCAATAATGTTGTGCACTTCCTGGTTTGTCAAAATCAATTTCTTGATTTAACAATTGTTTCACATTTTCTTCTTTTAAATCTTCGTCAATCTAGAGTAAATAAAAAAAAAAAAATACTTAATTGCAGAATGATTATTTATAAACGTACAGAAAAAAAAAAAACATAGATGAAGGAAACAAGACACACGTGTTCGTTAAGGTTATGCATTAAGTATTATTACCTCGTCCAAATCTTTGGTTCTTCTTTTGGTTCTCCAACCTTTTTTTAAATGTGTATCTCCTCGATGATATTTCTTACGTTTGTACGTCATTTCTGTAGTTAATTAAAATATTTAACTTTTGAGAGAGATTAAAAAAAAAAGCAAGTTCATTCCAATCCACAATTGGTTTCTGTAGATTCTTGTAAGAAGCAAGTCAAGTTAAAAAATGATGCTTATGATTCCGTCATATTAAATTAATATTATAATTAGTAGGAAGTTAAATAATATATTTTAGTACAATTTGAAATATTAAAAATCAAATGTTATTTATTTTATCTATTTTCATAATGTAATTATACATTGAGCTTGCACGATCGAAGGTAATAATGTTTAAAAATTCGCGGGTATAATCATCGATCTTTTATAACGATAAGCGTTCGATATTTTATCGACCAGTAAAAAACGATCATTAGAACGATCCAATAGGATCTCATGGGAATTGAGCAATAGGGAAGAACTTTAATCGCGCGCCAATCGCAGGCATATCTCTTGAGATTATAAAAAAAGGCGAGTTCACAGGGGTTGTAGATGGCGTTGGGGTGGCTAAATAAAGTGGCTCCTCTGGCGGCGTTCTTTAACGTTAATTCAAACGGTGCGCCGCTCCTCAGAGGGGGGCCCCATCCATTTTGAAAGTAAAAATACTGCGTGAGCCGGGATTTTCCTCCTAGGTCTTGAGCGACCAGCGAAAAAAGGCGGTACACGTCGCGGAAGTATCCCAACGGTGACCGATATATGTCGAGTGGTGTCACGATTTCACCGAAATGACGCGAAGACGTTCCGCGTAGCAGTGTGGTACGAGAGCAAAGCACTGAGGGTGGCGAAATAGGAGGATAAGGAGGAGGGGGAGGAGAAGGTGGCAAAGAGTCGCGCGCGCGACAGCTACACGACTGGCTTTGAGAAAGAGAGAGAGCGCGAGAAAGAGCGAGAACGTGAGCGTGCAAGAGAGGGGGGGTAGAGAGAGGTGTGTCGAAACGTGCTGAGCCGTGCGGTGTGCGTGCGGTGCAGCGAGAGATAGAGTGCAGTGCAGTGCAGTGCGGTGCAGTGCAGTGCGGTGCTGTACGTGCATCGCGCGACGTCGTTGTCGTCGTCGTCGTCGTCGGTGCTATCGTCACCGCCGTCGTCGTCGTCGTTATCGTCGTCGTTGTCGTTGTCGTCGTCGTAGTGTCGTCGTATCACCGACGAGGCTACGTCGAGAGTGAGAGAAAGACGGATAAAGGGAGAGCGCGAGGACAAGGGGAAGAGGGGGGTGAGAGAGAGAGAGAGAGAGAGGATCCGGAGGGTTCGCGAGGGAGAGGAAGGAGGTTGGTGGGTGGGAGGAGGAGGAGGTGAAAGAGGAGGGCAAGGGGGAGAGCAACCGTACGGGGAAATCGGCCGTGGCTTCGCCAATGGATGCCAGGCAGAACGGGACGCCATTTTGATATACGGGCGCACGTCAAGCGCCGTTCGTAACGCGCCGCTACGCAGGGGAAACGCGCTCTGGGAGTCGGTTCGCGTAGGAGCGCGCGACAAAATAGTTGCCGCTTCTTTTCGTTTACCCGATTCTCGAGGCTGCTGGTTTCGCTGGCCCTTGAAAGGGCTTGTTGTTGTAATACTATTGGGCAGTTATCGTTGTACCTTGGCGCCGTAGTCGCGTCTTAAACGTGAACAGGAATAACGTGGTGTGTAGATAGAGAGAGCCGCGAGGCGAACGTTTTCTCTCTTTTTTTCTGTCTGTCTGTTTCTATCTATTTATCTATCTTTCTATCTATCTATCCATCTTGGTTTATCGTTTGGTGTTGCCATAGGAAGTATAATACGTACGTACATTTGTAGCCGTGTGTTGGTCTCTCTCAGTAGTTTGGTTCTGTTGTGAGTGGTGGTGTTGTTGGTGGTTCGTTCGGTGCGTTGCGCTGCGCTGTGTGCCTGTACTGCGCTACGGTGCGCCGCGACGAGCTACGGAGAGAGAGTGGTGTGCGTCGTGGCGCGACGACGAATCTTAAACGTTCGCCTTAACTTGACAAGTGACAGGTGAATCGATCCGCGCGGCCGCCAACGAGCGACGACGAGTCGCGTCGTCGTTGATCGCGCGGGGTGCCTTTCTGTGTGCCCCGCGAGAAAGGGATCGGAGGGAGAACGCCAAAGGGAAAACTAAAGACAAGGAAGGGAGGGAGGGAGAAAGAAAGAAAGAAAGAAAGAAAGAAAGGAAGAAAGAAAGAATACACTGTGCGCTGTGAAAACGCGTTGTATATTACATTAGGAGAGAGAGAAAGAAAAGACGTGTCCACCGTAAAGTAATAGTAACGTCTTTTCTCGGGCAGCAGATTGCAATAAACTCGCGCGCGCTTCGTTATTTGTTTCAAATCAGCACGCGGTGCTAAACTACTACTCTATTACTATTACTATTTACTACTACTACTACTACTACTACTCTTTCTCTCTTTCACTGTTATCTACGGTGGCTAGAAACGTCTCCACCCACCGTATTTTCTTCACGCCTGTGATCAGTAGTCCGGTGCATCGCGTCTTACTTGTATAAGCACCCGGGAGGATAAACCGCTGTCAGCAAAGTTGTTCCTACGAGCCATCATCTTCGTTGTGTCATCATCATCATCATCATCATCATCATCATTATCGTCGTCATCAAAGTTGTGAGTTACAGTTGCAGTTGTTGAAAAAGACCATTGTTGTTGTCCATCGTCGTTCGTTTTTTTTTCCTCGGTTCGCGCCTTTCGCGCGCGTTCTTCGGACACGGAACGGTCAAGAGAGAAGAAGAAGGGGACACAAGAAGAAGACGGAAAAGAGAAAAAGAAGAAAGAACGAAGGAACGTAGGAGAAAGAAAGAGAGAGAGAGAGAAAGGCCACCGGCCGACACTCCGGGGGCCAGGACAAGACGACCCGATGTTGTCGGGAACGGGTCGCGACCCCGTGTCGACCCGTGGTCGTCCTCGTCGTCTTACCACTACCACCACCACCACCACCACCAATACTAACGACAACGTCCTTGTCCTCATCGACAGTACCATTATCACTTCTACTACTACTACTGATCATCCTCGTCACCTACGTTACCGTCCTCGTCGTCGCCAGCTCTTTGGATTTCCACCACCAAGAGCAACAACTGCGATACCAGCAACACCACCCTCGCCAGCAGCAACAGACACCACGACGACGAACCCAGGACAATCGTCTTCGCGTAAATGTGCTCCCATGCGCGCCCATCCGAACCTCCTTTTTACTACACTACCCTTTTTTTGCTGCTCTCCGGTAACCCTACGTGCCGCCCTATTATTGTTGTTGTTATTGTTGCTGCTCTAATTATTACGGAGTGCACTCCGAACATCAGGACAGAGAAAAGATTCTTACACCGTCCTCGTATCCGTGATCATGGCCAAGATCCTCGACAAGGATCCCGTCACCTACGAGAGGGAGAGGGAACACTTCATGAAGGACCTCCGGCATTTTCACGAAACCAGAGGGTAATTATTTATTTATTTATTTATTTATGTATATTTTCCTCTTCTTCTTTTATTCTTCTCTCTCTCTCTCTCTCTCTCTTTCTGTTTCTCTCTCACTTGCATTTTGGATGTCTCATACTTGAACCTCACTTCACGTCGTCGCCGTTTCCCGGTCACTTACCTCGTTCTTCTCGTTCCTTCCTTCCTTCCTTCTACTTTCTTTTTTTGTTGTTTTTGTTTTCCGTGTATTCTCTTACGTATCAGTGCTTTATTTTTATTTGTGTAGTTAATTAAAACAAATTCTCGATACTACGTGAGACAATATGTGTTATATTGTGTACGAATTAAATCGAATGAAAAGATGTAAAAGAAATTGAGGTTATGTAGGAAAATTTTTAAATATATATATATTTTTTTTTTTTTTCAAATTGTATTATTGCACGCGCGTGTATATATATATATATGTATGTGTATGTGTATTCTATCGTATTTATTTCTTTTGTTCATTTTCTTTCCCCTTCTCATCGTAGTTAATTGTTTATTTGTAATTTTGTATTTTTCTATTCAAATATTTACATATAAACAACACTCCTTTGATTTTTGTCATAATTCAAAATTGTTGACACCTGAAGTTAGACGTGAATCATAGTTCGTTTGTAATTTCGATAGTTGTTAGTATTTTATCGAACATTTATTCGATTTATTTGACAAACGATCGATTGTTAACGTAACGTTTCACATTTAAAACTTTTAGGGATACTATTTTCAATCAAAATTGTATGGTGATTAATAAATAATGATTATTGATTATAATAAAAACGTTGAAAGATAAAATGTCTTGGACGTTTCTCGAATAGCAATTCGAATTTAGTTCTCGCGTTGTGAAAGGTTAAGTAGATTGTTCGATTGTGACTTTGCTTGGAAAAGGTTTGGAAAAGGAAGAAAAAAAAACTTTCTTCTCGTAATTAAGATTGCACAAAACAAAATAAAAAATAAAAAATAAAAAAAAGAGAATTTCTTTTAGACAAATCTAATAAAGTTCTAAGAAAGTAGTCTCCTCAGATTTACAAATGAACGTTCTTACAGAAATGTAGGTTACCTTCTATGCAGATTTGTTTTTATTTATTTATACAATAAAATAAAATAAAAAAGAATCATAGTAATAATAATAATAATAATAGATTGAGGTTATATCTTATCTTATATGAATTTGTTTACTATCATTGTAGAATATTAAAAAGAACAATGTTAAGATTTGTTTTATTACAATTTCAGGACTCCATTTCGAAAGTCTCCAAAAATCAGTGGGAAGGAGATAGATCTGTATTTATTATACGTTGTTGTTACCGACCGTGGTGGATGGATAAAGGTGAGTCCATTTTGAATGATAATAATAATTCATTGGAATAAAACATAATTAACAAATGAAAATACTAATAATAATAATGATAATAATAGTTAGGTACAGAAGTAATAATTACAAGAAAAATATATTTCCAATTCGTCATAGTTTAGTTGTTAACTGTTATCTGTTGTAACATTTGAACAAAAAAAAAACAAACAAAAAAATGAATGCCAAGGATTTGGATATATTGAAAGAAGGTATCTTTTTATTAAATCTTATGCATCATTATAATGGGTATCAGCTTGTTAGCAAGCAGTGTAGTATCGTTTTGTTGTCGTTGTCTTCTTCTTTCAATGGTAAAGATAGAAATCTTTTTCATCTTTTCAAAAGGTTACTACTTCCTTATAAGGAAAGATTCTTTGGATTTTATTATTTTTAGATTGATAAGGAATTATATTTTGTATTACAATATAAAAAAAAGCCTCGTTTGGTACAATGATGGCGTTTTGTGTAGAGCAGCATATATAAGGCACTTGTATAGTATACGAATAATTATCGACCGTGGTAGAACTTTCTCACTTCCTCTTACGCAGTGAACGTATTAAAACGTGCAGTATGTGTATATACATATATATATATATATATATATATACCACCATATCATCATCAAGAAGAAGAAGAAGATCACCCGCATGCAAACCTAACGAACACGTTCCTGATGCACACATTTCTGCAAGGAGTATGACAAAATGACATTACCGTGCAAGTCCTGGGTATTTCTGTTTAATAACTCATAACTGTCAGTGACCTCATTAACGTCCAAGTATTCTACTTCAACAATATTTTACAAAACATATGATAATAATAATAATAATAATAATAATGAAAAGTATAATCTTTCAGGAAATAATGTTTTCCCTAAGAACATAGCCTAAAAAAAAAAAGAAATGAATATTTTGGTAAAGGGTTAGAGAATAATGAATGTTACCAATTGGGTTGGAGTATCATCTAAATCATAACATTAGCAGAATGCGGAAACGACATAGGGTCAAGGTCGGCTGCGAAGGGGTAGAGTACGGAATGGAAGATAGACCATGAGGCAAAGGTGGGAAGGAGGTGTATAGAGGAGAAAGAGAAGGGGAAAGAGAGAAAGCTAGAATGAGAGAGAGAGAGAGAGAGAGAGAGAGAGAGAGAATATCGTGAGAAGAAGAGAAGCAGGAGAGAAGGCAATGTTAGTGGTAGTAGTAGTGATGGTGCCTAGCGGTAGTGGTGGTGGTGGTGGTAGTAGTAGTAGTAGTAGTGGTGGTTGTAGGAGGAGGAGGAGGAGGAGGATATAGAGGCAGTGGTGCACGAAGGCTTCCCCTCAACAAGTGTGATCGAGCCGAAGCTCTCACTATATCCTATAAATTCAAAGTGGACGACTCTCTACTCTCTTATCCGGTATTAGGTTTGCTCTTCTTATCTTCAAATTTGACTTCTTAATCATATACCAACTTTGAGTGTATATATATATATATATATATATATATATATATATATATATATATATATATATAGCTTCAAAAGTTGTCTCTTTCTTATCAGGGTGATATTTTAAAAAAAATTAGGATACAATTCTTTCTTTCATATGAAATAATAATTATTCGTTTGATTTTCTTTTAGTTAGGTAAAGGAGGAAGGTGCAAAGTGAAAGTTGTGCGTGTACGACGATTAGCAATCGAGTTTTGCAAGTTGATATTCTTCAAACGATACGACTCTGTTATGTCTCTAATCATATCAGTGGTGTCTGATGGTGACATAATTAAAATATAACCATAAGATTGTAAATTCGATTAAGTCACGCTTCGAATAATTATGATTAGTAATTTTAGACGCTAGCATGCACGTAATTATGCTCGTTCTTTTTTTTTTTTTTTTTTTGTTATATACTTTTAATGAGGTAAATTATTGTAAAAGCTTTGACGCGTATACATTGGAAAGAACCCTCGTGAAATCAACTTGTGTATACTAATATTACAATATTCTATTACAGTTACATGTGATGAGAGAGTTCTTCAATATTGCTATTTATTATATCTAACATTCCAATTTCGAAATCTAAATAGTTATAAAACACAACATCCGCATAATTAATTCATCGTAATTTAGTATAATTATCGAGTATTAAGTTAGAAGATTAAGAAAATACAAAAATAAATCGAACAAATCAAAGAGTAACTTTGTTATGAAGTGCATACCAATTTAAAAGATAATGCAGTCAATTGGAATGAAGGCATAATCAATGCTGGACACTAAAGAGAAATTGGATAAGATGTTAATGTCTTATAAAAAAAAGAAAAAACAAGTCG